CCCGGAGATGCTCGATCGTCTAGGAAGGGAGGCATACGTATCCTGGTGTTCGATCTTGAGATTGCTACGACCGCTGGTGGTGAAAGGCAGAATTTATTCTATCTGCGTCACAAAAGTCACAGGCCAGCTATGCCGACGGCGTCCTCCTCCTCATGCTCCTGTAGAGTCATAGAATGATTAGATTGGATAGATTGTGGGCGAGTAAGGCCTGTTTAAGTTTCCAAAAACTTTTTTCAAAAACATCACATTAAATCTTTGACACATATATAAAGCATTAAATATAGATAAAAAAAATTAATTGCATAGTTTGCATGTAAATCGCGAAACGAATCTTTTGAGCCTAATTAGGCCATGATTAGCCATTAGTACTACAGTAACATATGTGCTAATGCTGGATTAATTAGGCTCAAAAGATTCATCTCGCGGTTTCCAGGTGAGTTATGAAATTAGTTTTTTCATTCGTGTCCGAAAACCCCTTCCAACATCCGGTCAAACGTCCGATGTGATACCCAAAAATTTTCATTTCACCAACTAAACAGGCCCTAAAACAGTACTCTAGAACGGAGATGATGATATCTACTACTCCCTCCGTCCCATAATATAAGAGATTTTAACATTTTGCTTTTATTGTTTGATCACTCGTCTTATTAAAAAAATTTGTGTAAATATAAAAAAATAAAAAATTGTGCTTAAAGTACTTTAGATAATAAAGAAAGTCACAAATAAAATTAATAATAATTCCAAATATTTTTTGGAATAAGATGAATGGTCAAATAGTGTGTCGGAGAATGAACTCCTCCACCAGGGAACCGTGAGGCCCCCCTTTGTGAGTTCGGCCGGGGCAGCGGGTGAGATTCGAGGATTTGGTGAGCGAAACTGTGTGGTCTTGAGGGGGTTAGCCCCCTCCAAGACGATCAGATCAAAGAGGTTTATACAAGTTCGGGCCGCTATGAAGCGTAATACCCTACTCCTGTACATGATTGATTGAATGTAGAACACAAGTGCTTGAGGTTGTGAGACCCAAGCGCCAGTTCGCCCCCTCGTCCCCCCTCCACCACTAGGCCTGGACCTCCTTTTATACCTCAAGGGGTTACCACATGGGCCCAACAACCTAACCTAGCTCTGGTGGAGAAGTATTATAATCTTTGCATTAAATGCATGTCTTGTCTCTTGACTTGGGAAGCCAAGCACGCGTCGTCTTGATGATGGGGCCTGTCAAATCTTGCCGCCTGACACGGGGGGTGCCCCTGTCAGTCACCATTTAATGGATAAAGACTTCTGGGCTCCTATTAACCGGGAAACGGGAGCCTTGCTTTGACCAGAGCGGAAGGACCGACTCCGGCTGGGATAAGAGGATGAGAACCTCTCACCATCACTATTAGATGGGACATGTCAGGCTGCACGCCGCCTGACACCCGAGCAGCGCACAGGCGCACTAGCCAGTCCCATCGGTCATTCGACCGGTCACAGACCGGTTGAGTGCACTGCACGCCGTATTGGCGCGACCGCTCGGGACGCCATAAATGCGGGTAGGTGGGCACCTGGAGGTGGACACCTAACCCACCGTACGTGGTGACCTAGAGAGGGGGTCGGGGGAGCCCGACCCCTAGTTACGGGAGGGGGCGGCTGCCGCCTGACCTCAGGCCCGCTCCCCCCTCGGGGGGGAGCCATGAGGCGCCTGGGGCGGCCTTCTCCCTCTAGTCTCGGCCAGGGAGTGGCAGCCGCCCTACCTCGGACCCGACCCCTCTCGGGGAAGGGCCACGTAGCATTGGAGGGCAGCCTCCTCCATCCAGTCTCTGGGAAGGAGTGGCCGCCGTCCTACCTCGGGCCTGACTCCCCTCGGGGAAGGGCCACATGGCATCGGGGGACAGCCTCCTCCGACTAGTCTTTGGGGAAGGAGTGGCCGCCACCCCACCTCGGGCCTGACTCCCCTCGGGGGAGGGCCACGTGGCATCGGGGGGCAGCCTCCTCCCTCTAAACCTGATACCCCCGGATCCATATCACCGACATAGTGCAAGAAAAAAATCAAAATCCTTATATTTTATATCATGAGACGGAGGGAGTAGTAGCTTGCAACGAACTAAAGCAGTGACGTGGCCACGCTCCTGTACCGCTGACTATGCTCAACCTTGGCAACGCCGTCGACAAACAGCTGGGTTTATGTGACGACGCAGACGTCACGCCAAGATAATTGTGCGATATTGAGCCACCGTGCCGCCACTACTTGAAAAAAGTTATTTGCAGGCAAGCCAAATCCATCTTTACGTACGGGTATTCTGTCTGTAAGGAAACGCCTATGAAGATAGATAAATAATTTTTTAGACGGTAGATTCACCCGACTACGAAAATATTTTCAGTGAAAAAAAAATGCCGCTGCCGGCGTGTGACACCCTGAAAATTTCAAATCTAGATTACGGGAACAAAATTCAGGATTATCAAAAAACTTTTCTAAAATCCGTCACGCTGGATTTTATCTCCCATTTTCTGTTGCACTTGGACCACAAGGACAAAAATCTACGGACAAAATCTATTTTAGATTCAAATATTATTTATTAAAAGAACCATGATTATGAAATGTATTAATTAAGAAAATATTTGTAAATACAATTATCTTTCTGAAATCCCTTTTCTATGAATTAGAACCTATTTGATGTATTTGTTTTATAAATAAAAACAAATACTAGATATTAGAAAACATCATTGTAAGGGATAATTCCCTGGAAAACTATTTTTACAATGAAGGCTAATGTTAACTAACCTCTGAAAATCTAGAAGTTAACTATTTTGGAGTTGTTTTACAAATAAAAACTAGAGGAAATTTACTAGTGAAACCCTATTTGCGAACTAAAATTTTTAAAGAATTCATTTCAAAAGATTCACGGAAAAGTCTAGTTTTTCCTCCTTGAAAGGCCTAGCCCAACACGCATAATGAGATTTGTGTTAATTGTGTGCATTTATATGTTTGTGCCAAAGATCTCCGTTAATCCATTCTTGTGAATCCCAATCCTTGTTGGGATTCCTCCAGATTCGAATTCCACAGTTCGATCCTCCTCCTAAGTTAATACCCTCCTCGAGCAAATTATTCGGGCATCTGCAAATACTCGAACCCAGTGATTTTCTGGAAACGCCTCTCAGTGTAATATCCGTTCTCTGTTCCTCCTCAACTCCACTAGACGGTTACAGTACCCCGTCTTTTCCTTGAACCGTCAGAATAACACAGATAAATCGATCCACCTAAAGAGTGTTCCCCCAAACCGACATCCTTCCTTACCCTCTCTTTCCCCCGTTTGTCTTGTCAAGCACTTCGATGTTAAACTGATCGAAGTCCCAAAATTCTTTCATTTGCCACAATACCATTTCTTTCCCCGAACCCTTGGAACCTTGCGATCGAATCAAAACCCGCTTCATCTTTTCGACTCAGCCTCCCTCAGATTCCCTTCTTTCCTATTTTCCCTCTACTCGAAATCCCCGAGTTCGGTCTTTCGCTTGAAACCACTAAAGTTGCTCGGCAGATCTAATTGTCGTGCGTCGACCCGTATATTCTCAATTCTATTTCTACCTTTGAACCCCACCATGACGAATGGATTTGTATGCCATAAACCGCTCCTAAACCCATAGTCGATATTGTCCCTACCTTTGAAACACTACCGCGTCCGATGGATTTGCATGCCCAAGCGTCGCTTCTAAAAATCCCATCATATCGTCGTCAATTTATTCAAGTGGTCGCAAAGAAACCCTAAGTCAAATACTTGGGCGACTAAATGGCCGAATCACTTCCAATCCAAACCCCAGTTACAATTTCAGCTCAAAGTCAAAAGTCCAGTTATACAGTCCATTTATAAGGCGCCCAGTTATACATACAAAAGTCCAGTTATAGAGTCCCGCCTTATATATGTTTGTGGAGTGATGCACCGCATTGATATATCTTGTTATTTTTTTAGTGAATTTTAAAAACATGAAAAAACGAGATATGTGCCCTCAAGAGACAAATAGACTTTCTGTATTTAACTTGTTTAAAACCTAACAACCTGAAATTAAACGTTTCATTTATTTCCCTTTAATTCGAAGTTTCCAACATTCTCTAAGCCTTAGATATACACCCTCCATCCTAAAAAGATTAGCTTCTGATCCTTAGAAGTTGATTTTTTCCTTTTTACGGAACATTACACATCAATGCCTCATCAAATTTAGCCTTACATATTTATAAAGTAATCTATCCCATATTAATGGACGTGACTACACAGCTAGTGGTAGCTGGTTTGTCTAAATCATCTACCACTTCATCTATAAGAGATACTATCCACCTATACTTCAAATACAATTTTCTCTTAAACTACTCATCCAATCTACGATCCGATTACACCGTTGTGTTCGTAATAATTAAATCTTTACAACAAGATCTCACATGATTATATTTTGATGAAAAATCACAAATTACTTTTATGATATGTCTAAATTATTTTTAGATTTCACTAAGTTACTTCTTAGAAATACAAAAGTAAATTCAGTAAAGCTTAAAAGTAATTTACATATGAAGTAACTTATAAAAAAAGTAACTTTAATTAATACATTTTTTCATTGAACAAATTATCATATATATATAAGTTACTTTTAGATTTGATTAAAATACTTCCTATACATTTATAATGCTCTGAGGTGATTACTTTTATTATTGTTTTTAGTTAATTCCATAATTTGTGCTGATTAATTTAATTTCTAGATAGAGTCATGTTTTTATCTCTACAACGGATTTACTTCAAATGGCATGCCAAAGTTACCTTCGTTTTGTTCTAAGTTACTTCTATAATATATGTAAATTACTTTTAAGCTTTACTGAATTTACTTTTATATGTCTAAGAAGTAACTTAGTGAAATATAAAAGTAATTTAGACATATCATAAAAGTAATTTGTGATTTTTCATCAAATATAATCATGTGAGATCTTGTTGTAAAGATTTAATTGTTGCGAACACAATGGTGTAATCGGATCGTAGATCGGATGAATAGTTTAAGAGAAAATTTCATAAGAAGAAAAAAATGCACAACCTAATAGAAAAACTACTTGCATGCATGTCTGTAACGCTACTGGTACTTCTCACGTAATTGTCTGCGTCGCTCGTTAAGTCTAAATCAAGATGCCTCTCGAAATAGATTTTGCGTATATTAATATATTTTATTTTTAAATTTGTCATAAGCTACTCCAACTCCAAGTAGCTTATGTGTGAGAAGAGCCCGTTGACAGCCCTACCATGAACAACCTCGGCATCGGGGGAAAGTTGACGTCGACGAGCCCCTCCAGGGCCTTCACCACCATCCCCATGGTCGGCCTCGCGCTCTCCGCGTCCTGCACGCACCAGCACGCCACCTTGCACGCCCTCTCCACCTCTCCCATGTCGACCTCCCCGCCCAGATTGCCGTCCACCGCGTCCCTGAGGTCGCCGTCGCCGTCGAACAGCATCCTCACCGCCGTCAACGGGAAGAAGTCCGCCTCCACCGTGCCGCCGGCGCCGCTGTCGTACTCGTCGTCGTCGGCCGCCTCCGCCTGCCGCCGCCGCTGCTCCACGTTCCTCCTCCCGGATACGATCTCGAACAGCATCATCCCGTAGCTGTACACGTCCGCCTTCGCCGTGACCGCCGTGCCGGCGATCCACTCCGGCGCCAGGTACCCCACGGTCCCGCGCGTCGTCGTCAGCACGCGGCTGGAGTCGTCGCGGCCCATGAGCTTGGCGAGCCCCAAGTCGGCGACCTTGGCGGCGAACGCGCCGTCGAGGAGGATGTTCTCCGGCTTGACGTCGCAGTGGATGATGCGGTCCCTGCACTTGTCGTGCAGGTAGTGCAGCCCTCTCGCGACGCCCAGGGCGATCTGGTACCTCGTCTTCCAGCTCAGGACGCCGCCGCCATGGCCGGAGCCGGAGCCGAAGAGGTGCCTGTCCAGCGAGCCGTTGGGCATGTGCTCGTACACGAGCAGCCTCCGTGTTCGGTCGGTGCAGAAGCCGAGCAGCCTGATCAGGTTGACGTGCTGGATCATGCCGATGGTGCTCACCTCCGCGCGGAACTGCTTCTCGCCCTGACCAACGCCCTCGAGCTTCTTCACCGCCACCGGCGTCGCGTCCCCCGGCAGCGCGCCCTTGAACACCGACCCGAAGGCGCCGCCGCCGATCTTGTCGGAGAAGTTGTTGGTCACGAGCTGCAGGTCACGGTACGTGAACACCGTCAAGAAGGAGGAGGAGTCCTCCAGTCTCCGCAACGCCTTCGCCCTTCTGCTTCTCATGACGAGCACCGCGACCAGAACGGCGAGGGTCACTGCGGCGGCGACAACTCCGGCGACGACGAGTCCGATGGTCATTTTCTTGGTGTTCCCGGTGCCGGACAAGTCGGACGCCACGCCGAGGCGGATCGAAATTCTGTAGCCGTCGGTGCCGGAGCCGTTCGCGCCCCGGAGGTTGATGAGGTCGCCGTACCAGAGCGTGCAGCTGCCGTTGTAGGAGTAGGCGGTGCAGGAGCAGTTGCCGAGGCACGCGAGCTCGCAGTCGTCGTGAGCGCTCGCGGTCGCGGACGGCGCGGCCACGCCGCCGGTGGGCAGACTGTTCGCCTTGGGCATCGTGAAGAACGTGTCGTCGCGCTTCGTCGTCTTGCCCGACGCCTGGCCGCCGCCGCCGCACGGCATCTGCAGGCCGGTGATCCGGGCGCAGCCAGCGGTTTGGTCGCCGTACAGCCACTGCCGCGGCTGCCGCTCCACGAATCCCTGGAGGCAGCCGCACTCCGGCACAGAGCCGTCGGTGCAGACGCTGAAGGAGCCGCAGAGCGAGTAGACGTCGCACAGCGTGGGCTCTGACCAGAAGAGCACCCAGGTGGCGGCGGACTCCACCCACCCCCACAGCATGATCTGCCCCGCCACTCCCACGACGATCCGCGACAACAGGGCCTCGTCCTTGACTTCGAAGACGACGTAGCTCTCGTTCTCGGCGTCGACGTAGAGGAAGGTGTACGGCGACTGACCTTCAGGTCCCGATTCCTCCGGCGCGGTCGTCCAGTTGCCGCCGCCGCCTCTCCAGTACTGGTGGCTGCCGTTCCAGGCGAGCCGCAGGTGCTGGCTCGCGCCGCCGCCGCCGGCGTCGAGCTCGAGGGAGAACATGCCCGGGGTCGGGTCGTTGGAACCTTTCCACGCGACCAGGCGTGTCGCCTCGCCGGTGAGCTTGTTCCGGCGGAGCTTGCTGCCGGGGAGCCACGTGTTGTCCAGGTGGTCGAAGCTCTGCCACAGCACGGCGGAGGTGTTGGACGCGTCGGCAAGGACAAGGTTGCCGGTGTTGAGGATGACACCGACCGTGGAGTTGGCGGCGGCGGCGATGCCGGTGATGTTGGTGGACCAGACCGGTGACCTGGTGGCGCGGTCGAGGAGGACCATGTTGCCGTCGCTCGAGATGGAGAGCTGCGACGATTCCGGGTCGGTGAGTGGGGCCTGCCTGTTGGCAACCCACAGCTTGGTGTGTTCTCGGGTTTTGTGGTACCAGATGCCCATGTACCAACGCTGCAAGGCGTTATCTGTTACGATTACGAACAAGGAAATGGTTAGGTGATACTTCTACCTAATAAATTAAGGGTTAATTAGATTTATGCCACATAAAATTCATGTGTTGTAATTATGCCTATGATCTTTTGCAAATTACTGTCCATTGATTTTTTTTATATATATATAGATTTGGAGCTTCAAATCTTACATATAGTTTTCAACTAATGGATACAGTCCGTTTTGAAGAAAATAACCGAAAAAGAGACAAATTAAACATGTCAAAATCATAAATCTAAAGAAAAAAACAGTTGCAAAATTTAATTTTGGTGCTCTATAACCAAGTGTAAGTACAAACTGAATCTACATGAATACAAATTTTTATGCAAAATCCTACTAACGAAAAATTGAAAGATAGGAGTAAAAAATCTCTCACAAGTGAAATAGCAAACTGCTTGTAAAAAATGATATTTATGCTTCTATGACCATTAATTTTGACCAAATTACCCCCTTTTTTTCATCTCCTCTACTACCCATTCTTTCCTGAGGTTTGCTCCGGTTCAACAAAAAGTACCTTGAGGTACCGGTACCTCGCAGTACCAAAACATTTTCGATCGTTGGATCTAGCTGTGCAGGATGGGCATTGTTAGATCCAACAATCGGAAATGATTTGGTACCGTGAGGTACTGGTACCTCGAGGTACTTTTTTGTTGGACCGGAGCAAACCACTTTTTTCAGCCTCGTCTCCATGAGTAGCCGCCTGTAGCGGTGTCTCATCACCCCTTCCCTGATACGCTTGTCCACGGGAAGCCGCCACCACAGACAACCCCAACAGCAATAAGGTAGGCATTTCTGGTTATGTACATGGATATTCCTCTCTCTAGGCTCATATTATTTTTTATGAAATAAAATTGAATCAATTATATTCGTATTCAAAAGTAGTTATGATTATGCTTTTATAACATAAGACATAAGTGATATCCTAATAGAATAATTGTCGGTCAAACTCTTACCCTGACAAAACAAAATATGCCATCTATTTTTCTATAGTGGAATTTATTTTGGCCTTTACTTCAACAAGCTATAGCCAATTAGTAAAGAGATTGAATAACGAACGACTACGAGTTGCAAAATCATAGTTTGATTAAAAACAAGAAAACTACTTTAAAATACCATCTCAAAGGCAGGGATTTTTTTTATCTATGGTTGGTGAGAATATGCATAACCATTATTTCTTCACAATGGTTTACATGTAGCATGTAGTTGTCTTTCTCAAATTCAAAAACAAAATCTCTGAAATCAGCAACCGGTCATTGTGTTGATCGAATTGTGCACACATCACTGCCGGCAGCTGACGTCGAACCAAAGTAAAAGATAACATCGGAGAATACTTAGCTATAAACAATGATTCACCCAATCTTCTCATCACCATATCCATCAAAGCCAATCCGACGAAAACTTAGCCACCTAGAATGCCAAACCACATAGAGTCTCTAATATGACGTATCTAAGAAGGTCATGACATGTAGGATGTCGTCATCACTATTTCGTCCATCTGGAACTAGGTTTTTACCGGTGGCGAATCTAGGAATTTTTTTAAGCCCAGGCAAACCTAATGATGAGTAAAAAGTACACTTAAATCCATATAACTATGTAGACTATTTAGTATACGCATATGTAAAATTTTCAATTGTCGAGTTCTAAATTAAGGAGAAGAAAACCAATGTACGAAATTATATTGATGAAATGATGGTCATGCATTGTTGATGGATTAGATTATAGTCTTGTATTATCTTAAAATGAAAAATATGATGATGAATGTTACAGTTAAGCTGATCCACTTATCTGACTTATATTTGAACTAGTAAATAAATTAAGAACGTAATTACCTACTACGCAACTGCATGCAGGTGAATGTCTGAACCCTGTGACTAAGCAAGATAACTATGTACTGCTTAGGGCATTTTCAATGGTAGAGACGAGTATGGTCTCTTAAACAATACAAGATTACTAAGAGACCATGTCTTTACAATAGTTGAGACGACAAAGGCTCTAATCATTAACTCAAAAAATATTCCTTTTATTAATATTCTTTCTATTTTTTTACCCTCATGCAACCATATTTCCATATTATAGTGATTAAGAGTCGTTGTTAAGCCGTTGTCATGCATAACAACGATGTTTTGTCTCTCCCCTTTCTCTTTCTTCCATGTCAACAAGTATTCCTAATTAGCAACGCTAAGAGACCACTATTGACAACCATTATACATGCCCTTATTGCACTATATATAGTGCACTGAATGCAGCAAAATGATGGTAACAAGTACTACTGATCACTTGATTCATGCAGCGAAGCCCAGGCAACTGCCCATGCTAGCCTGGCATTGGCTCTGCCGCTAGTTTTTACAGAGAGCTTATCCGACACGAAGTGAGGAAATGGAAGTCAACAACATCATCTTCTTTAGGAAGGAGTGTGGCACCCACAGGTGTCACAGATGTCGATACTCCTAGCGTTGATGACCCGGTCCTAGGTCTACGGTAATCTAATTAAGCTCGACCTTCTATGTCGTGGCTGGTGACAGGAGGAAAGGGGCGAGGCACATGCGCCAACAACATCTTGTCCTACCATCTTCATTGATTCGAAGAGGCTAACAATAGCGATGGTATATAGGGTGGAGGCCTCCTTCAGCCCAGATGGTTACTCTAGTAGTGTCTCAAGAAGACGTACTTGTTGTGGAGGCCAAATCTGGCTAGACCTTGCCACTGCCTTCCTCGAGAGCCATCGTCGCATTCTCGTCTAGGGCAAAAAAATAGGTAGGAAGTATATTATATATAAAAAGTTTAATGCTTGTGTCGGTGGGACACATGCATGCACGACAACTAGATACCCCATAAATTAAATGCCGCTCGAATTTATCAATTTTATGGCTGGACTATTATTTTGCAAAAAAAAAAAAGGATTTTGGGACCATATAATTGTCAATATCCAAATCCACATGAGAAAGTGTAGTTTAAACTTGAATAAAATCTGAAATCCAGATGTCTACCTTGTTACTTTTGTGACCGACGGTAATTTTCAAACTTGAATTAATAACCTGAAATGCAACAGGTCAAAGTGTGTAATATTACAAAATAATGCAAGTCAAACTAATCGGTCCACATGATTAAGAATTGAACATCGTGAAATTAATGAACACGCAGATGCAGCTACGAGTGACTGCAAAAGCGAAAAATTTGACTTCCGTTGTGAACTCTGAACTCTTCTTCCGTTGTGAACAAATTTTGAGTATTTGTTTGTAATTGTACGTCTTTGTCTTTGAATTTTTCAATACAATGGAACAAGACAAACTTTTATGGGTGAAACAGTTCGAGTGACCAACATTTCATTGTAGTCGGTGGAAAAAAAAGGCTCGGTGACTCGTTTTTTTTAAAAAAAAAAAGTTCTGAATGATCTTTTTTAAAGTGGAAATTATTTAATTTTGAATGAAAATTGTTTTCACTGCGGCTCGTTAATAAGAAAAATCTCAAATGACAGAGAAGAATATAATAAACTATATAAAAGTTCGAAAAAAGCTCAATAAAAATATGGCCAAACTTTTTTTTCCCAATCCAGTGCACTGTACAATGTGTACATACGTATATTTCATTGTATAATTAATTAGTCCAATCAATTGATGCAGCTTCGCCGATTAAGCTTTAATTTGTATCATTCGGAAAAATAAAACTGTAGATGTGGTGGTGAAGTAGTGGTGCGTGATTTCATCCATCAGGGTTTAAATTCTAATTCTTACGAATATTACGCATATATATGTGCAAGTAATTTTTTAACAGAAATTTAGTAAGATTAAAAATGTACAGCTACTAATAAACTTTTACCTCTTTGAGTATGTGTTAGGACATTTTCGTAGGTGTGTGAGCATGGGGTTGCGTATGTAGTGATGGTGTGTGCGTACATCTACCATGTAAATAGTTCGAATAAAAAAAGTAGGTTAAACTGTTAACTGACACTCCGCCCGATTGGCAACAACCAATCAGGCAAAAGAAACAAGTAAACAACACACGAACATAAGGGAGCTAGCAAAGCGTCGCTGACCGCGATCGAGACACGATCGATCAGGGGGTAACCGAACTGATGAAGTGATGATCAGGAGGCGAGGAAGAGGTAGCTTAGCTGCTATAGGTACCTGGCTGGAAGAAGCCTACCGCGAACCTGCCACCCTTGGACACCAGCCTCCGCCCGCCTGAAAGCGGCCGGCCGACGGCCAAGGTATCGGTGGCGGCGGCGCGCGACGGAGCCAGAGCCACCCCTTGGTGCGGCCACAGCAGCAGGCAGCTGCTGATGATCAGCGCCAGCTGAAGGAGCGGAGAGCAGCGGCAGGAGGACGACCACCACCACGGTCGTCGTCGTCGTCCACCCCGAGCCGCCATTGCTCCACCAAACACAAACCTCCACTAGCTAGCTAGCTACGACAGATATTAGCTTTGCGAGGAGGAGCGACAGATATTAATTAATATAAAAAGGAATCGAATCGATCGATGGGTATGGGTAAGTTGACGTTTGCCAGCGTCGGCCGGCTATCCGGGGTGTGAATTTTCTACACGTTAGGTGCAAGCTTATTGGTACCCATTATTTTCGTCTTATCTAAATATTCGTCGTAAAAATTACACCCTTTCTTTTGGTCAGTCAGCCTTTTGATATCTGTCTTTTTAGGCTCGTCCACCCAATCCCCTCTGCCCTTCCACTCCAGGGTTCAATCCCATTTGCCATTTGAAGTTGAATCCCATCCCCTTCATCTTGTGGAGTTTTTAAAAAGGAGTGCAAATAAAATCCAAAATTTGAAAATGAGTAAAATTCTAAAAACTACCTAGGAACATCCCGAAAATTCTGAAAAAAAATAAAGGACTGAAAATTACTGTAAAATTCAGTTGGTAATAAGTAAAATAGTTACAATGATCATAAAACATGACAAACTAATGATCTACTAGAAAACATGATAAACTTTTAAACGAGCAATTAGTGCATGCTGTCCACAACATTTGACTACTCAATTTAACTTCACAACCTTTGATCCATCATCATGACAATCAGGGTTGACATCAAACACTAAGTACATACACATTGTTCTATAAAAAAAGCCAAAGGATCACAGAAATTTGATTCGTCCAAAAGTTAAGAAATTCCTCTCATTTCATCTCCACATGATTACTCCATGAATGCCTGAGGAAAAAAGTAATAACGATTGAAGTGCGATGATGCAAGAATGATCTTATAAAGTCATGTTCATGCGTAGTTGAATGTATGACTATGCTACACTTCATTGTTTCCGATATGAATTTTTGACTTCCGACCAATATCGGTAGATTCCTTTCCGACGGTCCCGTTTCCAATATACCGATATTATCTATATGGTTACCGTTTATGGTATACCGTTCTGATTCCGTTTTCGAGAAAAAAATGAAAATGAAAATGGTAGAGGGTTTTTCCTACCGTTTTCATCCTAATCCTCCTGGTATCTTGGTAGTTGTACAAGGAGCGGAACTCCAGGGTTTTCGATTACTCTCTCTTCGGTTTCAGTTGCTTTGGACTCCATCCTACAGAAAGGTCGTCCGTGGTCGTTGGCGGTGCCGCTGTTTTTCGAGGCCTGTTGGGAATTGTTTTTCGAGTCCTGTTGGGAATATAGTGTGGTTCCTCCGTCACCGATCTCCTTCAATATTGGAGCAGCATTTCTTTTTCGCTATTTTAACCATAGCAGTCTTTTTTTTCTTCTAATATATTAACGTGTGATCCTTTTGCGCGTTCACGAAAAAAAACCCATAAATCCATAATAGAATAGCTAACGACCAGCCCAAACGAGTCTGAATTCTGAATTATGAACAGATCATCAAAGATCACACGCCGAGTAATCTCATATTTCGAGTGTTTCACTTGCCGAATTTTCATTTCTTGGGTTCTTCCTGGGTCTCATATATTGAATCATATTATCATATTGGAGTATATTTTAAACATGCGAATATGTGATGTCGTTTACTTCCATTAGTTCCAACAATCTCCGAGCTCATCACATATTCCACAATATGCATATATATCAAGCTGAGCCATTCCTGGTGGCGAAGATCCTGTGCGAGACGACGACGCCGAGCGCGAACGCGGCGACGGCGGCGGCGATCGCGCTCCCCCGATCCCACCTGGCCCGCTCCTTCTCCATCTCCATCTGCATCTCCGCCTCTACCCTCGCGTCCTCCATCGTCGCCATCACCACCTCCGCCGCGCCGCCCGCGGGGCGCTTCGGCACGGTGAGGCACAGCGTGGCGCCGTCGAAGCGGGCGGCGATCCGGTCCACATCGGCCGCCGGCGGCAGCTGGAACTCGCGGTGGAGGCGGACGTGCCCCGCGGGCCGCTGCCCGCGCACCGTGACGCGCCCCGCGCCGTCCACCTGCACGCGGAACTCCTCCTTCCTGAACCCGGCGAGGTCGAGGCGGGCGACGTAGCCCGCGGCGCCGTCGTGCCACTTCACCTCCGGCTGCAGGTCGACGTCGCGGGGCTCCACCTCCGCCGCCGCCGCTCCCTTCGCCGATCTCGATCCCTTGGGCACGCACGTCGACATGGTGGATCGATATGCTAAGCTATAGCCTCGCGGGCGATCTGGACCAAGGAGGAGCTATGGATGGTGAGATGGAGCTCCAAGGAGGGAGCCATATATACTTACGTGATTGTGTGTTGAATTGGTTATTCGAAGCGTTTTCTTCAAGGTGACACAACTCTCGATCGATCGATCGCACCAAGAAAATTGGTGTTTAATTGGCGTCGAGGGTTGGGTTTGGGTAGGGATCTTGGTTTTGTCTCGTTTTCCAAGCCTACAAGCTACGCACAGTACTCTTCTACTTACATTTACTTGCTTTCGGCATGGATGCATATACATGGCATCAGGCATCTGCTGGTTACCTAGGACTACGATTGCCACCTACGAGAAATGTCCAATTCCTCTCATCTGAAGAAAACGTGAGCGGGATTCCTTTTATAAATACATGATTTTAGTAATACAGGAACCGATATATGAAAAATATAGGAATAGAATTGACGTAGTATATATGAATCCCACGAAAATCAAAGTCACATATGTTTAAAAGATAATGTGTATAGGTGGCTCACAAGAAAATAACATATGAATTTTGATGGATTTTATGTTGCTTTTGACTACTCAAAGGAAAAAAAATAAAAAGTTGTTTGAGCTCAAATCCTATATATATTCCCCAATGGAATGGATTCTAAAAGAATTGGCATATGCTCTAATATTTTGTTCCAAACAAAACATGTGTATAGGAAAATCTCTAAAATTCTTATGAATTTCCTCCAATCCAAAAGAGCGGGTTGGAGCTACAGTACTTCCATCGGCAGATCAATTGATCAAGTCATCAAGCATGTGGCACCATCTTGATGTTCAATTATGGTTGGTCATTAAATTCTTCCTCCATATTTAAATATAAGATACTGATGGCTTTATATGGACAAATTCAAAACTTGAACAACCGATAGCTCTCAAAGATTTATTTTGAAAACATAAAAAACAATTATGGATAGATTTTTCTTTATAAATACTATTATAATTTTGTTAGTTAGTAGTCAAAGTTGAAAAGAAACTGGAATGTCAAATAATGTTATATATTTAAATATGGAGGTAGTATAAGCTATTAGTTGCTAGGGAAACCCAACTGCGTACATAGCAATTATAAGCTAGTTCCATTGGCAGAATGTTATTGAGAAACACGAGACGATGTGCATTTTATATAAACTAGCAATGTGCTCATAAGTGCAATGGGATAAACTAATTAATATTTTTTTTTAGGAATATGCAAAAGAATTGTGCATCTTTATACAAAGACACCATGGCCGCGAAAGGGTATACTTAGTAAAATAAGAAAAACACACCACGCTGCGTGCCAACACCACTACCATAGCCTGAGGAAGAGACCTATGTGCCAAGACGGCTGCCCCAACATAACTGATTGTCGTTGGGCCTACAATGCAGCTATGGGTGAAAGAACCTCTAAAATGATGCCTCCAAGGAGGTTATGACACTGAAAACACCGTCATCGCTTGTCAAAGGATACTTGGATGTGGTTTTCACTTAAAGGATCCCAATAAAAAAGATGAGGGAGGCACCTCGAGAAATGCCTTTAAGAGGGTTGTGGCACCCAAAGGCATTACCGTCGCCGGCCTAGGAATACCATGCTAGATTTCCCATAGAATCTGCCTACACCCCTGTTGTTGAGACCTCATCGACCACCAATCTTGCCAACACATCATCACCACCACAACGTCGCTCTCTACTTGACTTCTGTCCTACTGCCAGCACAACCACAACCATCCATGCCTACACACTGGCACGACCATGACCATGACCATGACAATGACCACCGACCGTTGCACGATGGCGACCATATTGGCCTTCCTCCTATGCCATCACCTCACCAAGAAGGAGCGAGGTGACTGCCAACACCCACCACTTCACGTCGGCAATCTCGGATTTCCTCTCCTGTCATCGCATATACCGTCTCACCATAGAGTTCCCCACGATCAGATCTAAACCGGCCATAAAAGGGAGGAGCTACAAGGAGATGAAAACGCACTAGCAACAGAGGACGACCCGTCGTTGCCACCCGTGATGGTGATGTTCTGCGGCTCGATCCAAGTTTGAGGCCCCGAATCCGGCGGCTGCTCCACCAACCAGTGCTTGCATCACTGCCTTCTGCATGGTCAACCTCACGAGTGCATGCGCTCTATCCGTCGGCTGCTTGCTGCATGGGCCAACATGCTGCTACCAGCCTCCGCCTTCATCAATGCGTACTAGACCTCTGCCCGGTAGGCCCCACACTCCTTGCCAACTACAGACCCTCGCCGTTGCAACCCCGCCTCTAGCCAGTAACACGAATAGCCTCTGACCACACCCACTACATCCTCAGCACCAAGTAGATTTAGAGTTTGTTGTCATAGGAGGCAATCTTTAGGTTCCAGGGGCACACTGTGCAACCATGGAGAAGGCCTCGCTGTCACCGGTGACCTACCGAGCGGCCGTCGGCGACGATGACGAGGGGAAGATAGGGTTTCTGGAGGGTTGGGAAAGATGCAGCGTGATTCACTTAGTGAGTCGCTGGAGCGGCTCATGAGACCTTTTTAGAAGAAAAGTTTCATAATCTCAAACCTAATTAATATTTATGACTAATATTAAATAATTGATTCAGTTTCGACATATCTTTGTATGATTGCATATCAGGGAGCAATTTCAACATCTATGACTCGTAAACATGACCATCTTCGCACCAGAGAGTTTCTTTTTAAATGTTTGTGTTAGGGAGCTTAATTCGATGCGCATGCATGTGGAGCCATGGAGCCGAGCAGAGTAAAGATAAATCACCAATTAACAAAAGAGCATGGAGGTGAAGATAGACCCGAGCATATCTTTCTTTTCTCAATGAAAGCCTCAAGAATATCTCAAATCAATCTTAAGAAAAAAAAATAATTCAATTATCTGCTTATGCACAACCCACTGAATTTTGCGTAGGAATCTTTTGCACATGTGCAGATGCGTATCACAATAATAATCATGATAGGAAAGCGATCTTGTGCAGAATAAGAACTCGATCTGATGAAAAGCACACATGGACATGAATCGGACATCATATCAAGAAATTTGCGAAAATGCTTAGTGACGTAAGTCCGGGCGACTCCAAAATATTGGACACACTCGTCCTTATCCAGAACACTTAGCTACCTCCTCCACCACACGTTCCCACATCTCTTCATTTTATTTTTACCCTCCCTCTTGCTCTATCTCTCCTGAAAGACTTCATCCCAATGGCCATACGGTGGCAGAGGAGGCACTGGGCCTCGCTTCGTTAAAAACACGATGATGACGACAACGGCGGTGCAGGGTACATGACAACAGCAGAGGCAGTGTGTCAGGGGGCATAGGGCGACACAGGATATGATGAAGACGTTGGACCTTGCCGCCATTGGCGGCCGCCGGGGGAGGGGGCAGGGGGCAGGGCACGACGACACGGGATGGGGAAAAGGTGTTGGATCTAGCTACTGACAAGGACCGAATGCTGATGCAGCTGGCCTTAGTCGGAGGACGCCCGTCTTGCGCCACTGCTCGCCTGCGTCTTCCCTGTGTCGTCGCCTCCCCCGCCGCATCGGTGGTTCTGGTGGCTGAAGTAGAAGAAGACGGAGGTGGGTTCATTTTCTTAGAGCTTTTAGAGATTTTGCACCCCGATTGTTTTTCTTGTTGCACTTTATTTTATCAAGGTGTTTCATTATATTTTGATTTGGTGTTGCATATATTGATTCTTTGTGTTGTGATTGGTATGTTTCATGTTGTATTTTGTCACACCCCGATCCGGCACCGCCGTACAATGGCTCCTGACAGGAGCGTGTCGTAGGAAAACGGCGCGAACCACTTCCTACGAAACCGCGATCACAGTACCAGTCCCAGGACATAGTGCTGGTACCCACGGTGACAAATATGATTCATTGCAATCCTTAAAATAAATAGAGGACTTATTTACCTTAACTTAGGTTGCAGCTCAGACAGCCCGAGAATACAACCGACGACGCGGACGAGGAAACACCAACAACAGCAGCAGTGAAACCAACGGACTAACACCCAACACCACAGGCGACGGCTGGGAACCAAGACAAAACCCTAATCTTCACTTCACTTCATCTTCAACTTCAGGGCAGAGGAACTATATATATTTATATAGAGCAAGGGTGAGTACTTTCGTACTCAGCAAGTCACGGGAATAGGTGTTTAATACAAGCTTGGAAGAGAGGCAAGGTTGTTTTGCAAATCTTTTGTTTGAAATCATTTTGAAATCACTAAGTGATTTATTTCTTTTCAAGTTTAGGCCAAAAAGAGACTTGCGTCTCGATTCGACTTAAGAGATGCTTTTCAACAACTCAAATGGTAATGTACCGACCTCCCAGGTCAGATCATTACTTCTTGGCTCCCAGAGTCATTTCACTTGATTAAGCGGCTCCCGGAGCCTTTTTCATTTTCTCGGACTCCCAGAGTCCAGCTGCCCAGCAGCAAAGCAATCCGTTTCTACTCGAGAAGCCTAGTCTATGATGCCCACAGACATCCCGAATCACACAGATTCGTTTCTGACCACTCAGGTCATCCATCTGCCACATAGACTGATTCTGGTTACGATTCCCATTCCACAACAACTTTTCACAAAGCACAGGCAAACAAATCTACGCAACGGGAACCACCTCACATCCGCCCATGACCGTGGGCACGGCTGTTCGAACAGATAGTTAACCTCTACAGAGGGGTACACTTTACCCACAAGATACGAACTTATTCCGAACACCCGTCGGTGTCGGAGTTTCGCAACAAAGCCTTTCCTAAGCCGGCCCAGGGTTACCTCATGCCACATAGAAGGATCAAATCCTCACATAAATATAGGCTATTTTAGTTTTCACAAATCAAACTCCAACCACCTCGATCGGTAATTCAGCAAGCTTCTCTTCCTTGCTTACCAGGAACCCGGTTTGGCTCCAACCGACCCCGCCCCGGCGTTCCCCAACTATTGGCATGCAAGG